TTACATTTCCTTTTAATTATTGCTATTATATTTGCTAGTTGATGAGTTACAAGGAGCATCCCATCTAATATCTAGTTCTCTCAACTTTCCTGTATAGAGATTTGGGTATTACCTTTTTTTTGTTGAGTGCTTTTAGAGGTTAAGTTTACATTGCAGTTGCAGTAAATTGTTTGTTCTTATCTTTTTACAGGCTGCCAACTATTTGAACATAAAGAGCTTGCTTGATCTGACATGCCAGACAGTTGCAGACATGATCAAAGGGAAGACCCCGGAGGAGATCCGTAAGACATTCAACATTAAGAATGACTTCACTCCTGAGGAAGAGGAAGAAGTCAGGAGAGAGAATGCCTGGGCCTTCGAGTGAATTCGAGTCTGTTAAGCGGCGTCAATATTCTGCTGATAGATTTGCAATATCTTAGTAGATGTTATAAACAATCTTTTATATTAGTAAATATGTGACTGTTGTTTCTCGGATCTTTGACTTTGTCAGTTGAAGGGAGACAGTAGAACCTCTTTTGCCTTTTATGCCATGGTTTCTTGTGTCCTAAATCGAAATTGAAGATAAAATCATGTTGGTAATTGATCTCCATTGTCCTTGAAGCCTAATGTGTCAGACAGACTCAGTTTGTGAGTTTGAGTGTGACTAAGAGATGGAGAAGTCCATTTTGGTGGCGATATGGTGATGGTTTTTGGCAAACATGTCCATAAGGAGAACAGACGAGGCTTGTCATGGATAGGAGTCACATACAATAAGTTTGAGCCTTATGTATTATTTGCGAGAATTTCTTTTCTCCGGCTGCACATTTTTACTTGGGTGTAGCGGGATTATTTGTTAGACTGTCTTCTCCGTTCCTATTATGTGACGGTTTCCATGATCGTTATGGATTCTGCTAGCAACATTACCCGGCTGTGGCAGGAGATTGGCTAGGTCTTATATTACTGTAGCCTTATTCAGTGACTATCTTCATGCCATTATGTCTCCATTTTCCTTCTACTTCAGCGGCCGTGATTGTTTAAGAATCAAGTAGCTTGATCACCACTATAGCTACTTAATGTATATGTGATGCATTCTTTCTTAAAAAGCTCAAAGCAACTCTCTTAAGCAGGTCATAGATTTGATGAACCTATTCAAGTTCCCATGTTTTGTTTATCCTATTTCATCAGATCTGAAATGTAGGAGTATATGCTTTTTGATGAACATTCAAGTTCCCATGTGTTGTTTATCTTATTTCATCA